CCATAAGAAGGAGGAGAGCCTGGCGTTAGCCGGGCGATCCGACTGGTTGTTTACAAAATCGAACACAAGAAATATAAGAGTGATTCCCGTATGAGAGTAAGTTGTTTGTGTATATCCGAATAGAGTCTTTTTCGTCCTTAACTAACTACTCTTTGCCTTTGAGAATCTTTGCCGACTTCGAAACATCACCGTCACTTAAATCTGCTCAAATAAGCAGTTCTCGTGTAAACTATGTTGCAATTATCGAGAGATCATCTGAGCAATCGCCATCTAGAAGTGTCACCTTTATTTCACTGAGGGTTGTGTCGTTCCGTTTTGTGGCGAGGCTACAGGCATGACCCAAAGTGGCACACACACTGCCACAGGATTAGAACTTCGGAAAAGACTGCTCAAATCTCGAAGTCGTCATAGACTGGCTGAGTGCGAAGGGATGGTATGGCGTTCTGAGCTGGTCGTGAACCTTGCATTGAAAACGTATTTTGAAAACTTGATCATGCAGGCAAGGACGACCAAGTACAATGTTATCGGAATGACGGAGACGGGATGGCACGTCATACTTACCAAGTAGCGCTCAAAAGTCCTCGACCAAATGCTCCTACGCTTTTTCGTTCATAACTTTTTTCTTAGTGGAGCAAATTTTGATACATTTTACTAAAGCATATTTTACAACACTATCCATCACTATTTGACTGCGACGCTGCAATATCCACATAACTAGAGCGAGCCGTTTTTGCGGTAGAAGATTCGTTAGTTGCGGTTCACTAAAAGCAAACTTAGTTACGTCTGCAGTTATTCACACCTTATGTGCGTTTTTCTTCTCTACTGTGTTCGGCATTAGCGCTCGTGCACTTTAGACATGGCAGAAACGCAAGGAATCCCAAAAAGACTAGCGTCTGTATTTCTCGTTGATTTTGAGTTCAAGCTCTTTGGGGTATTTGAAACATGATCAGATTGAAGGCTAATAGTGGTAAATATTCACGATACGCCCGTATCGGAATTTCGTATGCTTAGATCCAGTGGGAAAGGAGTTACGACTGAAAAGTGGGACTGAAGAAGCACTTGGCCGAGGACTTTTAAGCGCTACTGTAGGTTAATGCGAATGACAAAATGTAGTGCGTAGGAGATGATGGAGAAAAGAGAGAAGAGAAAGAGAGCCGAAGATAACAAGCAGAGAATCCACAGTTTCTCGAGTGCGATCAAAGCAACGTCGTTGTGCACCTTCACAATTACGGTCGCGGTAAAGTTCTTGCTCGGTTATTCCGCACCAAGTGACCGCCGATCTTACCTTCACGCGTGTCTCTGTCAGCCAGCTGCTCCTTGTCTCCTCCAGAAGTGTTGCCCGGTATCTGGTGACAGAATAAAGAGGGTCGCGGTTTGTATCCTAAAAAAGAACCGCTCGTGCAACCTAAGCCAGAACAACACCATGAAATTTTTTTCATTTCGTTTTTGTTACTCGCAAGAAGTGGTCGATGCAGTGGGGGTATTATAACACGTTTGAAAAGACATGCTTTAACTCACGCGCACTCATGACAAACGGAACACGCAAAAAATTACGGAACTCGGACTGAAAGTCATGCCACTTCCGGCTTACTCACAGGACAGCGCCTTCTGGTTTTCACCTATTCAGAGCACTGGTGCGAGATTGGGAAGATTGGTCATCGTCATTTACTTGAAAGCAGAACTCCCAGTTTTCTTCGTCGCAATCGTCGTAGTTCTGGAAGAGAGGGATCGAGAAGCTGCCTGAAAGTTAGGGGTATCTTGGGTAACATTGGTGAACATCTAATTGATGAAGGCCTGAATGATAAAAGTGAATTGGTCCGGAGTGTTGCAAGGCTTTTCTTCCAACCTTGTGGTTGCCGATTTCCCCTTCAATTATACTTTTCTGAGTCCGAGTGTATTTCCATATATCAGAGGAAACTTCCTCAATATCTGATCCGGCTCGGTCAGAGCTATTAATAAGTTGTGCATACGTATATCTGTATGGAATACCAGTTCTTTTTTATCGAGCCCAAATTCTTTCTTGTAATGGCATATCATTGCTGGAGGGGTCAGGTCTGCTCTGAGATGATTAACTAAAGTTGCCTTCTTGAGACACAACTAGCTGCTCAGAGATAATGTTCAGAAATACAAAAGCTGCTAGATATAATTAATCTGTGAATTAGAACAAGTCATTAACTCTGTAGTATCTGCAGTAATTTCTAATCTACTGTCTGTATAGAAAGCATGTTTCTCGCTGCTATCATGAATTTGCCGGCCTTGTTGACACAAGTGATAAAAAATTCCGTTGCACTATTTACAATTAGGCGGTGATCCAAATTTGTAAACATATCAGGAAAACCAGCAGTATATACAGGGTGTCCCAAAATTATTGGCGCCGAAATTTAGAAATTTTTAAGGTAGAAATAATTTATCAAATTCACATTACCTGTTATTAGTTAGTTGGAAAGAAGGTTTCCTTGCAATATGCATGGTTACTGATGTGGAACTCCCAATATTTTAAGATGAAGGAGGTTCATTCAATGCCAGTTGCAATCATTGACACGCGAGAGGTGGAAGGGCATCATTAAATTTTTTGGAATTTATATAACCGTATAGGAGGCTACTAAACGATATAGAAAAGAAGAATGAACCAGAGACAAACCAGAAAAGGTAGAAAGGTAGAATGTTACTGAGGATGGAATTATTGAAATGGTCCGTCTGCCAATCGGTCGGGATCCAGGGTGACTCATCAAAAGGAAGTCAACGGGCACAGCTCACAGGAGTTATCGCGATGGAAGAATGTCATGCAGGAGCTTCACTGCCATTAATATCATATGCAGAAATTTCTCTTCAATTCCGATCTCAACAGACACTGCAGAGCCAAAAAATGCAGGAAATCGCAGACCCACTCAAGTGATGACACGCAACCCTTCGTCGTTTTCTTTGGCCAAAAAATTTTTACCATAAAACCATCCCCCAACAACCAAAACGTTCGCGTCCTAGCGTGAAGAAGCATCTAGCGTGTAATATCTTACAAAAAGGTTGCTATAAAAACAGTGAAACGTTGTTTTTCGAGAAAATCACTGGCAATGGTAAGCCGCTCGTGGTTTCTTCGGTGCAGGCGTGAATATATTTTTATGGTCCTGTTTCTTTTCTGTATTACCTTACTGTAGATCGTGGTGTTTTTTGAAGTGAAAGTAGCCATTAATTTCTGGTTTAATTGATCATTCCTCACTGCTTCGAGCATCTTAGCAGCAAACTTAACAGATTCTTCGTATAACTTCAGGAATAATCGAAAGATCTGATTTTAGCTGAGTTATAGTCATCTGGTTTTTGAGCTATGGTGAAGGCAAAAAACTTTCTTCTGATACGGATGAACGTTCATTATTGCTTTGTGCGAGTCAACGGTTGCAGTATGTGCCATAAATATGTTAATAAAATAATTGTTTGCTGACACCGTAATTCATATTTAAACACGGTGAATTTATGTGAACTATTTTCTATGCATCGCAACAATAAAAATGAACGCTTGATCATCTGATTTAGACGTCTTCTATATTGATTATAGCTTAGAGATGCCTTGACTACTCACCGGCTGCGGCACCTAGAGTGTCTAGAGAAACTTCCTTTCTCTCCAGCATACACTATACCCACGGATCCATTGGATTGTGGGCCGGAAAATTCGTGGGTCAGTTGGAAGCAGAGATGAAATTGTAAACATCTACTCAGCACCTTAAAATTTTCCCATTCGTAGCAGGTACGCGAGCATTTACGAATCGTATCCCTAGAATAATTTAGGGATACGGTTAGATCAGCAGCGCCTTCTCATAAATATTCTTCGCGGGGGTATTCTGATCAATTTTAATACTTTTCTCTAAAAATATAAGCAATATCATTCTGATGGCACAGATTCCAGTCCAACCATTTTAGGAGAGGGAAATGGCTCTGTGGAACGATCTCGCGCTTCTCAACTTTCTCGCCACTTATAGGATTAACCAGTGTCGAAGTACTGCCATTACAGTACAGTAGAGATCACAATTTGAATCATCCACCTCACTTCATATTACTCACTTCACTCCGCAGTGCTCACTTTACTCCATTAGCCTACCCACAAAGTGACTGCTTTTTATATAGGAAGAGTAAGTTTTCCATATCACTACCTTTATCATAATTACAAAGTAACCCGGACGGACAGACCGACAAACCGACATACCGACATACCGACAAACCGACAAACCAAGTTACTGCTTTATATATAAGAAGGATATTCTTTAACGCTTTCACCTCTTCGTCAGAAGATCATTGTGTCGAAGCGCGTGCCGCGTCCAAGTAGGGTACGACATTTGTTCTGTCTCTCATACTTCTTGTCAAAAATTTATTGTGTTGCCTAAGGGAAGACTATTATCATTGATGTAAGACACAATACAATCATACATACAATCGGCAGTCATTGATCTCGAGTTTCTGCAGGTTCCTAGCGTAATCATTCCCAAACAATTACATTAGGAAAAGGGGTATTCTGGACAAAACGGCCGTTTAAACGCTGGTCGTTGGCCTACCCTCCCATGGCGATACATGAAAAGGTCATGCGAGAAATGTTGAAACGACGAGAGATGCCAGAAATTGACTCGCCAAATGCGCGCAAAGGCGGAACGGCTGTTGGATGATTGCAAGGCTTCACCATTTTTCGAAAACTGACGACTTGTTAGCACCAAAGCAGGTATGTTAGTTAAGGTGGGGTGCAATATATGGGTGAGCTGCATTCACCCACTATCTTGCAGGAAGAAGTGTAATATATGATTGCGGAGTAATAGAGTTATTTTGTAGGGAGGGCGAAGTGGTGCAGTGGCAAGTGGCGCACTTCACACACGCATGTTCATGGGTTGAATCCTGGATCGACACCTCCTGGCCACAATAAACTTTCCACCTCCTGGATCAGTTAATTGGTACCAGACTTGTCTAGGAGGATGAGAACCCTGTCCTGTACATCGGCTCGCCACCGCAAGTCACTGTGAGGACTACATACGCATTCTATACGCCACGCGATTTCGAATGAGGGTCGAATGCGTGAGCGTATACCTCTGACAGGATTGATTAATGCTCCAATACTTTATCCTTCATTCATCATTTTATTTCGTAAGAAGGAAGCAGCTGAGGGTTTCGAACCTCCGACATCGAATATGAAAACTCTTAAAATCAGGTTAAAAATAGTGCCATTCTTCGTGATGTTGATTAAAATTTATAAGTTAAGATTAATTGTGCAAACTCGTGAACCAGATGCGAATCAGCCTTCGAGACAAAGCCTTTAAGAAAGCATTACAGTCTCATTATCTCTTTATAAGTTTATTTTGAAGGGACGTTGGTCACCGATGTTATCCTCAAAAAGATTGAAGAGATCGAAGGTAAAAATGTGGAGAAGCAGCAAGCTATGGATAACTTCAAAAAGGTATGGCATTTATTTAGTTACTGTTAATTGAACTTTGCGCCAATAGGTTTGGTCGAGGGAACTCGGATCATTGCGTGAGATATAAATCACAAATTTGATGGCAGTTTTGAAATACCAGTTGGGCTCCATGACCGCTCATCTACGATGATGGACATGGAGTCATTCAGCGAACTTGCATTATTATAACCTCTAACTATATTTTCCTGCGTTCTAGAACGTTTCTGAACAGTCATAAACTTTTGATCTAACCCCCGCCCACTTCACTGCAAATCTCACCCACCTTGAGGGTTTGACCGCACTTGTTTCAGGACTTCTAAACGCCTTTTTGCCGCATTTTAGACGGCTCCCGAGCGGGTTATGAGACTTTAACGTGAGCCCCCTCTACTATCGGGCAAACTCCCCNCCCCCCCCCCCCCCCCCCCCCCCCACCCCATTTCTGGGTATTGACCACATTTGTTTGAACGAACTTCTAAAAACGTCTTCGCGCATCCCCGAACATTTCTGAACAGAGATCTAAACTTTTGATCTAGGCCCGCCCACTTCTGAAATTTGGCCACATTTGTTCTATTAAATCTTACCTTTTTTCAGGCATTCTATAACTTTTCTGAACAGAATTATATGTACTTCTGAAAACTAGCCTATTTTAACGCATGCCTCGCCCATCGTGGGCGGAGCCTCGCTTATGTTTGCCCACCACGCATAAGGCCCTCTCATGCCCACCACGCATAAGGCCCTGCTCATTCCTTTCATCTTTTTTCTGGCCTCCACACATTCACTGATTGGGTTATGAACTTATGTGGGAAGCACCGCCCACTGCGAGAACGCTCCGCTCACCACCGATCTTTCATTTCATATGCTGACGCATCCCTTACTTTTGCTCATTTTTCCGTGTTTGGACTCTTCGAAAACGCCCAAGCTACTGTCCATTCTGTGCATGTCCCGCCCCCTGTGGGCGGAGCTCCGCTGAGCTCGCATGTGCTCTGTTGGTCCTGCCCTATGCTCAACCCATTCCAAACTTATCCCTCTCCTGGTGTCCGTGTTCCTTCAGGTAGTGTAGAATTTCGTGACAGGCATACAGACAGACAGCCTCATATTAGTAAAGATGTCACCAGAGGTTCAACAAAATGCGTGAAAACATTTTTATTGATATTCTGTACGAAATCGAAATACTGTGGAAGAAATATTTCACAGAAGGTGTTTTACATGAAGAATCCTCTTAAAAACATCCAATCACCGCCTGTGTACTCAATCACCGCCTCGGTGCTCTGTACTCAATGGCGTTACACTTTTGAGTTCAGTGAAAGAGAAGGAGAAGGAATTTGGTTCTAATTCAGCTTTCGCACCTTTGCACCTCCACTCGCACGTCTTTGGAGTGACTTCTAAAAATTGATTAGCCCCTAATTTCTTTGCCATGCTTAGCTGAGCTGATTCGATTATATTCTTGTTTGGAATACCACATGAAATGTAAAAAAAAAAGAAATCATGCCGTCATATTATATAATTCAGGCAATATAGCCGCCCCAGTGATATATCTTACACATTTCTGCTTGACTTTGAGAAACGCGAGAATGCTGATCCTCCGTCAACTTCCTTCCCCAGCCTTCAATGTTGCAAATTTATGTTCACGTTAAGTTTACCTTTGTACGAGTGCACTTCAAGTCTTATATTTTGAAATGTTGTGAATTTCCTAACTTATGCATCCGATACTGACTAAGCCAAGTGTGGTCTGGTAGAGAGGTCAGCAGCTAAAGGATTAAGCGAAGTCTCCCCACAGGTGAGTGAATGGAGGCAGTAATCTCATTTGGAACTTATGGGCACACTTGTGGGAACTGGGAAATTTTGCATACAGGAACTCCTTTCTCAGTTTATCTAGTCATTTGCAGTTACTGACGAATGTCACTGAATCGATGGCTTACCTGGAGCAAATGAAAGATGTGCTTATGCAGCTGTGCGCTACTTATCTCACTTCAAGAAGACATAACGGATTTGCGTTAAATCCAGTCGGTAGGTTTTTTAGTTGTCGCTCAAATGAGAATTTGTTCTCGATCTACACCGAAACTTTATCAGAGCGGTTCTTTGGAAACATGTTAGCTGTAAATCGGCCCAGAATTGAGTACAAACTTGCTGATAACGTCACGTTCATTGATCAGGAAACTTCAAGGCACAATTCACGATAAAAATGGGCCCTGAAAAATCTCCCTCTGATGAGTCTGCGGCATGCCAGTATACCATACCTGTCATGTCGGTAAACGGCCTAGATGGGGCGTTCTAAGGGCTAAGACATTGTATCGAGTGAATGCCACCTATAGCGGACGAGTCCCAGTAGCATTGTAGAGGCCGAACCATCTCAAAGGACACTGTAACTCCTCAGCATTTCCATGTAGGAACTTCACTCAACTTGTCATGACTCATGGTTACAATGGAAGGCGGCTTGACCAGCTTTGGCTTGAAGTGGTCAGCCCTTTACGCAATCACAGCAACAGGAATCTCATTCAGATGCCCTTTCCCTACCACTCCCGTCATGGTGATCTCGTACCATCTCTATTCCCGCTGTTTTGAAAATCCGAATTTTTCTCGAAGTCGACACATTTTCCGCTTTCGTCGTCACTAATTTACTGTTCTTCACCAACACTTTCGGTTTCCAAAGTAAAAAGGGTAACTCAAAACTGTGCGTGTAAAAGTAGCAGAAGGTGGTGTTCTCCGAGTGGATAGAAACAAATTTGGTCGATAGATTGTGGGATTTGAAACAAAACAAAACGTAACGGCGACGAAAGTCTCGAAGACGATGATGGTGGTAGTTTGATGGTCAACGGCCGGTTCAATTCATCACAGCTTTTTGCATCCGGGCGAAACTATCACAGCTGATATCGAAATGATACGGCCAGGATATCGACGAAATGCATCAGAAGCTGCAGCTCATGAGCCCTGGATTGTTGAACAGTAAGGGGCCGATCCTTCTCCACGACAACGCGTGCTTCCATGTCGCACAGATCACCCTGAGAAAATTGTACGAGCTCGGCTATGAAACTCTGCCACACCCACCGTACTTACCTCACCTCGCTCCAACAGATTACCACTTTTTTGAGCATCTCGACAAATTCCTTTGAGGGAAACGCTTGAACAATCGACACGATGTCAAATCGACCTTCCTCGAATTCATCGCTTCTTAGATCTCCAGTTCTAGGCAACCAGGATAGGCAGGCTTGTTGCTCGTTGGCAAAGGTGTGCAAATAATGATGGTTTTTATTTCGATTTATAAAGTTTTGTTTGAGCCGAGATATGTGCATTGAAAGTTGAGCGTTGAAAAACGACAGAATTTTGTGAAACGCCTTATAATAGCAAAATGAGTGCTAACCCATTGTGTACCGTGGTGTTTCGCCCTTCCTGTTGCGTGTGCCCGGCGCATTTTTCGTAATCGACGCGGCGTGGCTCACGGCGTGGTCGGATATTGAAGAAGACGACGTCGCGAGGGTATTTCGCAAAGCTCGAGGGGACGAAGCAGTCATGTTTTTTTCGGAGTTCCTCATGTGCTGTAGATCGCTGGACGATTCCGTCAAGATCAAAACAGCTGACATCAGAGAATTTTCTCATGAGGCCAGGTACGGTGGTAGACATGATTCGTGAGAGGCCAAGAAAGAGTTCCGTGTAGATTAAATAACGCAGCGATAGACGAGCTCTGCAAACGGAAAATATTATTGGGGAGACTAATGTGATTGGAGGACTCAAAGGTAAGCGTACTGATTAGCCAGGTTATTTCTTTTAGAAGACTAGTTCAAGAAAAAAAAAGAAGAAAAATCTTTATCGTGCATGAACTGCAGCGAAAGCTCCTGCCTGTGTATTCGACCATGTAGGTGCTAGTGGCATGTGCAGGAAGCGAAATAATCACTTGCTCTGTGTTTAGATGTTTTTCATTAGTAGGAATGATGACGAACATTTTCTTTGGCCATCTATTTATTACGAATTCGATTATCTTATCTATATTTTTAGCTAATTTTCACTTGAGAAATGGAGCGGAATTGTACCGATTGAACTGGAAAGGAGATGCAAGTAGAAGAGGTCTCGAGTCTAGTCTTGGCATCATGGTTAATTACAGGTAGGCCCTCATATTTGTCATTTTCCTTTCATTCCGTTTCTTTCGTTTCATAAGTATCTAGTGGAAGAACATTGAAGTGATAGTCCAGAATTGTGCAGGAAAGGGGGGGGGGGGAAATGAGGAAATCAGCTAATTAGAGATATATATATAAGGCTTCAGAAATGTGATAGAATTAGGGGTTGGACGAGATTTTGACGACAACAGTTGAATATAAGGGGTATTTGATTAAGCTATTCAAATATGTGTGTCACTGCATACAGCTGGCCACAGTAAGCTGCCTGCGTGCAACGCGTGCTTTCCAGTGCAACCTCTACAGACTCTAAAACGGCGTGATAACTCTTCCGCCTTCGGGTATAAGCGTCACCTATGGTAGCGCTCAAAAGTTTTTGGTGAAATGCTTCTTCAGTCGTAACTCCTTTCCTTCTGGATCTAATCACGCGAAATTTCGATATGTGTAGCAGGGTGTATTGTGAATATTTACCACTATTAACCTCAATTTGTTCATGTTCCATATATTCCAAAGAGCATGAATTCAAAATCGACTAAAAATACAGATGATGGCCCTTCTAGAATCTCCTTCCTTTTTGTCATGACTAAAGTGTACGAGCGGTGATGCCGAACACAATAGATGCGAAAAACGCGCATAAGGTGCGAACAACTGCAGACGTCAACAACTTTACTTTTGGCNAAATCTGCTACCGCAACAAACACCTTGCTCTACCTGTGGATACTACAGCTTCGCAGTCAAATAGTGTTCGGTAGGGTGAAATATGCTCTAGTTGAACATATCCAAATTTCGCGCGATTTGGTCTACTAAGAAAAAGTTATGAACGATAAATCGTCAGAGCATTTCACCGAAGACTTTTAAGCGCTACTGTATGTAGGTTCTAGGGCTTTCATCACGCCCTACTTAGGTCGTTTCCATCCCAAAAATGTTCCTTGTTCTAACTACGGTAATCACAGATTCAATCCAGAGAGAAATTTTAGAAACCATTTTCTTTTAAGAAGTCCGCCTTTGAAATTACAGTTCGCGATAATTTTGGTTCGTCCAGTTTCAGACGAAGGATGGAAGTAATAGTCCAGAATGGTGCAAGCGAAGAAAGCGCGAAAATCGGCGTATTAAGAAAGAAATAACGTTCCAGAAAAAAAGTTAATTAAGGGTTTGGACGAGAATATGACCGGGAGGCGGTATTTAGTTTCAAATCTACTTACTTGCACTTTCCTCGTATATACACTCACTCGCCTCTGGGGAGACCCCCTTAATTGGTTGGTGACCTCTGTGGCAGTCTCAGCGAACATTTCAAAATGATTTGCGGTAAGAACAGGGCAATGTAAAAATTCAAAACCTTCATATAATATGATATGGAAAATAATAGAATAGAAATAGGACATGGAAATTGTGTAGGTTTATCATTGACGTATTTAGACATCTTTTGTTCATCTACTAAAGCTACTTGATGTACCATGCGCAAAAACAATAGGTTCCATTGCTGTGATCCAATGCCCTCCCCATTGCATAACTTTCAACTCCTTTGAGCGCGATCGTCAAGATGACAACCTCTCCGTTTTTCAGAACCTTATCCACCAATTTAAAATGCTTGTGTCAGAAGTATCGTCAAATAAATGAACAGATTGGAAACACTTCACATAAACAAGGTTCTTGTCTTCTTCTCACAGCGAATATGAAGTGATTATTTCGGCTACTTCTTCCGACCTTTTCTAGGACTTTTTTATTGTAATATTAAATTATACACTATATATTATGTATTGCAACTTTTATTTTTATTGGTCGCAATTAATATGACCGGGCGGAGGTGGTGTAGTGGCAAGTGGCGTACTATATCACACGCACGGTCAGGGGTTCGAATCCCTGATCGATGCCCGCTTAGGCCAAGCAAGCCTTCCATGCCTCCGGGGTCGGTCAATTGGTACCAGATTGGGAGGATAAAAGCACTGACTTGTACATCGNCTGGCCGCCGCATGTCATTGTATAGGCCACATACGCACTCATTACGATACTACGATTCTGAATGGAAGTCGAGTGCGGGGGCGCATCCCTCAGACGGGATTGATTAACGCCAAAAACTTTATCCTTTTTATCCTTTATCAATATGTCCATATATTGCTGGTGCTATGCGCATATGCTACTTGTCATCGGATGAGCACAATCTCTCATTTGTGCTACTCTGAATTCGATCACACCGACTTCTCCAGCTTCGAATCAGGGTTAGCTGCTCCTGTTGTTTCTTCTTATTTTCGCGGATCCCTGTTACTTACCTAGTCCACCGGATATACTGTAACACCATTATTTCATGCACCTCCATCCCTTTCAGTACTTGCACATTCTCTCCGTTTCCTCGAGCACAGTAGTGCATACCTCTTCCATTTATCCTTAGAACCCGACAGCACTGTGAGCTCTGTGTACTAAAACCCTAGGTTTTCCTACACTCTAAGCGCAGCTATAGCTACCGCAAATCCGGCATGCATAATAGTCTATAGCATATTGTATATAATAGAGCAAAACTGCAAAAGATGTCTAGGCACGTCACCGATTAGGCTACATAGTTTCATGTAATGTGATGATCTTGAACTTATTCATTGCCTGGTCCTTACTACATATTATTGTAAAATCTGTAATAATAATAATAATAATAATAATAATAATAATAATAATAATAATCGAAAAAGTTTCCAACTCATGTAATTAATTTTAGTTCATCTGAGACTGTCAGAAAGGTAAGCAGTCAAGCAGTTAAGCGAGGCCACCCCACAGGCGAGTGAGTGAATGTGCGAGGTAGGTACGAAGTAGATTCGGAATTAAACTGACTCACCCGAATGTGACCACATAACTTAGACGGCTCTTCTGAATAAAAAAGATCATTCACTCACCTTATACTCTGTGGATTCCAGTCAATACCACTCGCAATTAATCGTAACAGTGTACCTGTCTGATGATGTAGTCTGCTCTTTGAGGCTTAAAGTGAACTTCGGTCCTCTATGCATTACGACTATGCAATAGAGTTCTCATTGGACAGGAGGTGCTGTGATACGATGAGGTCACTTTAGATCGCAATCGCAGCCCATAAAAACATTTTCTCTCAGACAGGCAAAAAGTTATAGTGTTTCCCTTGATTACATAGTTCGAAAATATACAAAGCAGTCAAGATACTAGCTTGATCTTCTGGCACTTTCGGAATTGCAACTTTTGAGGCGATGCAAAACAGGTGTAACAACTTCAAGTCTTCGATTTTTCTTAATTTTTTTCTTTTTTCTATAATTCGTTCATTGCATGAAAGTGCGCGAAAATATGCGGCTCAAGGAAGCGAACCCGAATCGATATGTCACGTCATCTAGCAAGGGTCATTTTGAAATTTCCAAGTGATTCAGATTTCTTCAAAGCACATGTACATGTGTCTTCCAGGATCAACTCCAAAATGTTTTCGAAGAGAGAATAGGACGAACACTAACATATTCGAATATCTAAGCGTCGTCGATCAATGTGGCATCTAGGTTTACATCAACTGCCAGGAAACCTGGGAATTCTGCAATGGACTTTGGTGCAGATTGCGGAATTCTGGTTTCAAAATGGATTGCGGCTCGCACTATGAAAACGATAAATCCCACACTTTCCTTTAAAAAAATAATGAAGCTTTTGCCACGGCTAACTCAAATCCATCACGATAAGCAGCGTCTCTTTCCTAAAAATGGGATAAATAGAGATTGAATAACAGTGTGCTTCTCGCAAGCACCCAGATCGATGTAGGGTTTGAATTTTTGTCTCTGATTTTTTGAGCTATTTCCCTTTGATGACAGCAGTCAGCGAAGGTCAGAAAAACCGGCGGAAAAAAAGTGGAGATGGAAATTTTGAGTTTGACTCGAGCTGGAATGCTCGAACAAGGTTCCTTGCAAGAAGGTGCCGATTATCTTGATGTATCCGAGTTAGACTTGGTGCTGGCTCATTGTACGAAAGATTATGTGGGTCCCATATTTTCAAAATGCGAGCCACTTTCTGTTTGCTGATCGGAAATCCTTCATCAATCTTCATTTCTGAATTCCCGGGCAGGTAGTTCCGAATCGGATGCGTCATTGTTCAAGGGCACCTAGAGATACACCAGCGGATGTTTTTCGTACCTTCTCCTTCGCAACAAATCCCACGATGTTTTTATGGAGAATGCGGGACTCTTACTCATGAGTCACAAGATTTGGAAATGACCCATGCCATGTCAACGTCGCCTGTCGAAATCGTTCTGCTCCTGTTCGGTTGAAAATATTATAATTTCGCATATTTCTATATGATATAACAGAGAAGAAAGAACAATATTCCAATTAGTTCTCCGCAGCCTAAATGTATAAGATTGTTGCCACCAATACTGAGAATAACTATTGCTACAACTCCACACGAGTTTAACAATACCTTTATGGCTTACCTTTCAGCGAATCCGCCCTTCAGGATGGGATCGTTCTATCCTATCAGGCTCCGACGAAGGCGGATTCGCCGAAACGTAGAAGCCGCTATAGAAGAAGTGCTGTTAATCTCGTGTAGAATTGTATCAATGAAGTTATTTCCACAATATGCCGGGGTTTATCGAGAGCCGTGCGCCTCTTTCAAAAACTAAATTTTCAACGGATGCGATCTGTTTCACACAGCAGTGTAGTAAGTGTAACTTCTTCTTTCATTTTGTTTCGTGAGACTGATTTGCAGCTCATGAACACGTGCGGTATTGCAAGCTGATGTGATTAGGAATTGCTAGTATCATCAGAAAGTTGCAGAGTACATACATTGAACGTAAATCCTCCAATCGTATCTTATTGATGTTCATCCTTGAATTTCTTCCAGGTATCGTCTTGAAAAAGTGTTGGAAAACAGTGTTCGCTATACTTTGGAAAAGCATATCCCTGTTCATGAAAACGTTTCTTCGTTGATTCGACGTCAGCCAGTTCCAAAGGAATCTAAGATGTAATAGGTGCCTAAGTCATTGTTAAGGAACTTGTCACTTTTTTGATACCTGGTTATAAATCTGCTGTACTTCTGAGAAACTGAATTGTTCACTGAATAGATCAAATGAATACCTTCGAACCGCCTTTCTCTACTCTTGTTGTGTTCTGCTCCTTTTTTTCAATGTTAGTTAGAACTTCCGATAAGTAATTGATCCCTTGATAGATAGTGTTGTATTCCTTGGACATTCACATGAAGTTTTTTTTCGCAAATGATATATGAGGGCGCGCGCCTTCCCCTGAATTTGATCACGAGGTCACTTTTAATACAGTAACTCCTACCCATAGCGTCCCACGATTAACCCCCTGGCAATCCACCGTCAACTGCAGTCAGAAACGTAAAGGGCGCATTGGGAATCTGAAACATCGTGTACCGTTGGTTTGCTCGCTGTGCGAAGGGAAATATATTCTTCGAAGGTGCATTTCAGGGCTTCGTCCACCATTCAAGATTCTGCTGTGCCCGCCGCTGTCAAAGAGAGTGGTCCTCTGTTTTGCATACGTACAGTGGCAGCGATGTTCGTATGTGACCGCAATACGGACATCATCCATCTTCACTCTTTCGGCTGCCAAGGCTGGCGTGATGAATTTTGTTACGACATTTATGGTGCACCCTGTATTATCCGCTAAGTGTGTCTGTTGGCGTGTTTGTGTGTATATGCGTGATTTCATCTGATCGGAACTTCATAACTCCTGTCCCACTGAACTGAGACATTCAAATTTGATAGGAGTACAGGCGTAGGATGGGAACACGTATGGTGGGTGGCCGACCAGACTCCGCTCTTAGGGGGTGAGGTTAGCGTCAAATAAATATTCAAGCAAATATTCGTAACTCCTGTTCCCACGGATCTTGAGCGATCAAGTTTTGCAGGAATGAAGGCGTGAGAACACTTATGACGGGTAGCAAGACTAGAGTCCGCCCGAAGTGGGCGAGGTGTGCGTGAAAACTAGCAATTTGGACATGAAGCATTCTAATTTGGAAGGTGTACAGACGGCACAATGGAAATACTGAAGCAAGGTAGCAAAGCAGAGCAAGCAAGGCTAGACTCCGCACACAGGAGGAGGGGAAGTGTGGGTGAAAATTGTTTATATGAACCTGGAGCATTCAAATTTGGGTAGGGGTGCAGGCAGTAGGATGGGAACGTTGATGGGTGGTGGCACGACCCGACCCCGCCTTTTACAAGGTGGAAAGTAAAGCGTTCAGATTTGGCACGAATACAGGTGTCAGGATTATGTCACCGATGGCAGGTAGAAGAAAACGAAACAACTGGATCCCGCTCACAGGGGCGTAGGGGTTATGGAAAGGGCGGATACTGCGTAAAATGAGCGTAACGGGAGTGGAAAACATGAACATGAAACTATAGGGAAATGAACCATGTTACTTGAACACGCAGGAATTGAGCAGGATTTCGCTCATGGCGGACACGACGCGCACGAAACGTGTCAGTGTGTATGTATGTGTGTGCATGTGTATGTGTATGTGTGTATGAGTGCGTGTGTGTGTGCGTGTGTTTGCGCGTTTCGGTGGGGTCAAGAGCTCCTGTTTTCCTGCATCAGAGCTTTCAAACATGGGAGAATGCGCACGGTGATTCGACTTGAACACAAAGAGGAGGAGAGTCCGGCGTCAACAGGGCAATGAACTGGTGCATACATGCCAGTCCTGACATTAATTAGGGCCATAACCAACAGAGAAAGGCCGATGATGGTGTAAAGGTATAGCGAAAGAGACAACCCTCTTCCCTGGAAGGGACTGCTGGAACAGTCATGCCTTCAAAAGCTGGGCTCATCTTGACAGTCAAAATCGATCTCACGAATACAGTTTAATTCACTCTAGAAGCTTACCATTACAGCGGAATATTCTTATTTCACGGTCAGCACCGAATGGCTGCTTTCACAGTCCACAATTTAGCGAGCGACCGGTCGCGAACCTATCGAACGAACTCCGAGCGAACGGTCGCGCGATCTGTCGAGGAGGCGGCGCTAGCCATGGGCGCCGCCGAGCGACACTCGCCAAATCGTGGACTATGAAAGTAGCCAATGACATACTCCCTTTAATGCTTGCCTAATTCATCGTAGGCTTGGCCTCTTGCCACGGTTCAGACTAATAGGCAATCAAGAAGAGCAGCAGTTGCTAACCCCATTCAGATATGGGGCCGTTTATGTGTGAACACTTCAAATCTTTGAAACCAGGACGAAGGTTTCTCTTTAACAGCCTTTCCTTTACTTTGGATGGTGCAAACAATCATCATACACTGGTGTGCAAAACTTAAGGACGAAACGGATAAAGTAACATAGAACATTGAGGATTGGATGGAAATAAATGAAAGTGTGGGATTATATTGCCAGACCTATGACGGTTATGCACAGGAAGTTGGACATCCCTACGTGGAGTAATAGTACAAATAAAGCGAGAAATATGGCTACCCGTACAAATCGAGGCAGCTGATAGGTACGAAAAAAAAAAACTTTTTTGCCAATCAGCCAGTAGCTACCAAGTTCTGTGGTGTTACCCTTCTGTGCATCATATCCCGCAGACATCGTATGGACAACCTAGCACGAGGAAGGATCATCGAGAAACCCGAAAAAGGTCGAACCATGGCGAGTGCAGCTCAGGAACCTGGTATCGCTCACAGCGTTGTTTCACGTGCACGGAGAGCATTCCGAACCTCTGATACTGCTGCACAAAGAAGAGGAGGTGTTCGACCAAGAACAACTACACTGCGGTATGACCGCTACATTGTGCAGCAGGCAAGAAGATATCCACGTCAGTCAGCCTCTTTGATTGCAATGTCATTTAACAGGACTTCAAAGCAAGCGATCCCAATCACTACAGTGGCACGACGACTGCACGGTTGCGGTCTCTTCTCCCTACGACCACTAGGTGGTGTTCCTTTGACCCTCGCAAATCGGCAAGGCTGTTTAAGGTGGTGCCAGGAGCATAGCGAATGGACCGATGAGAAGTGGGACCAATTTTTTCAGATGGGAGCAGATTCAGTCTGAGTAGTGATTCTGAACGCACCCTCACGGCTAGAAGTGGGGACACGCACGTCTCTCAGAAACGTTGCGGAACTTCTCCGTTCTGGTGGCCGTGGTTTATGTATGGGGAGGCATCATGTTTCGTAACGGTACTGAACTCGACATTTTTGAGCGTGGGACCATTAACAGTCGGCGTTACTGTGAAACACACCCAATGTGTATCTTTTCATGGCCGCAGTGAGCCCTGAACTCATTTTTATGGATAACAATGCGCGACCGCACCGCGAACAGCTCAGATGGGAAAGCTCTTGACACAAGAGGTTACCCAGCGAATGGAGTGGCCTGCCCGTTCCCCCGACCTGAATCCCATCGAGCACGTGTAGGATGCACTGGGTAGGGGCATTACAGTACGTCCAAGTGCACCACTGACCATCCAGCAATTGTCAATTGCGCTGATAGAGTAGTGGAATGCCGTACCACAATAACTCATTTCCACCTCTGTGAAAAGTGTGGGACCGCGTTGCAGAGCATTTACTGCTGTCCGTGGTGATCACACACCCTATTAGGAACCGCGTCGCTTTTCTTGAAGTACTACGATAAGTTGTGAGGAACTATGTGTAATCGGTACCTTTCAATAAAAATGTCTTATTTGCTCGTCCTGTTTCGATTTGCTGCCAGTTGCTTCCTGTGCAATACCGTAATGATCCTCTATTGGTACGGTAGAAATTTCATCGAGTTCTATCGCCTGGCAGAGATACAGTGATCGAAAGTTACTTTCGTCCCTTAGGGAGGGTTTTGCACACCAGTGTACAATATATAAAGCGCTCCGTCTGTCTTTCTGACTGTCTATCTGTCTGTCTGTCTGTCTGTCTGTCTGTCTGTCTGTCTGTCTGTCTGTCTGTCTGTCTGTCTG